TTTTTTTTTTTTTTCTTTATACATAGTTTTTCAAATTATAATGAAGAGTAAATTATCTATTAATCCGCGGATAATATTTATATCCTAATTATAATGAGTTATAAAAATTATATCATTTGATAATCAACAAATACTGATCTTACCATTTTAAAGAATATTAATTCTCTAACCTTTTTAAGAAGTGATTAATATTTGTAAGAAGAAATTATATATGTAATTTTTAGATATTTTTTACTTAGTACCCATGTATATGTAGAGCTGTTAAAAAATAGGGGATGATATAAGTGATAATGAATTTGGTTCAGTGAGACATAGCTCTGATTCGTTTGATGAACTAATTGAGCTACAGTTCACTGGAAGTTCGTTTAATTAAACTCGGCTCATTTAATAAATTAATTGCAAATGAACTAATTGAGCTAGAGTTCACTGAAAATTTGTTTAATTAAACTCGACTCATTTGATAAACTAATTGAGTTAGAACTCACTGAAAGTTTGTTTAATTAAACTCGACTCATTTGATAAACTAATTGAGTTAGAACTCACTGAAAGTTCGTTTAATTAAACTCGACTCATTTTATAAACTAATTGAGTTAGAACTCACTGAAAGTTCGTTTAATTAATGAACCGAGTCTGTTTAGTTAATGAATTGGCTAGACTCTTTTAGACTCAAAAATCAAAATAAGAATTTTTATAGAAAATTAGAAAAAGGGTATTTGCAGTAAAAACAAAAAATACAAAATTATACTGTTAAAAACCGCCATTGATGAACTCACTCCCTCTCTCTCTTTCCATCGTCCTTTGTGATTCGCTGGGGGAAATTTATCGAACTGCCAGAGTTCAAATCTGGTAAGAGAGTGAAACATGAATGAGTGAGCAAGTAGATCAATGGCGAAGGCAAAACCTAAGACAATCGGGTTTGTGTTGGTGATTGTGGGGCTTATGGGATTGTTTCTCATAGCACATCTGATCTGGGCTTCATCATCTTTCTCGCCTTCAAATTGGGCTCTCAAAGATTTGAACAATTTTGTGGTTCCAAACCCTGTTCACAGAAGTAATAGCTCGCTCGACGCGCCAGATAAGGTCTGTGAATTTCTTGGTTTGGCTCACTCTACTCGGGGATTCTGTCAATTTTCACTAAGTTTTTTTTCCATCAATTTGCATTGCTTATATGTGTGCTGGATCTGATCTGATACCTCAATAGACAATACCATGCGTTGGTGATCTTGTAGTAATATATTAGTACTAGACATCATAGTTGTTCCTCCTAGGCTTGAACAAAATCAAAACTTAGCTTCTGGGAAGGTGTTATAAGTGAAAATGATGATTAAATTGTGAGGCAATAGGCGGAAAAGAATCGTTTCTAACTTTGTAGTGTGCTTTCGTCCATGTTTTGGTAGCTTGATATGAGTATCCTATGATGGATTGTCTATACATTTGGAGCTAAGTATGGGTTTGGTTTTCTCAACTCTCATTCTGACAGGTGACACCTAAACAAGATAAGAAGGGTATCATCTCGGGTAGGGTTTTATCGGCAACATTTGCTGATTTGCCAGCTCCCGAGTTGAAATGGGAGAAGATGGCAACAGCACCAGTGCCTCGTCTGGATGGTGCGGCTATACAAATAAAGAATCTTCTTTATGTTTTTGCGGGATATGGGACTATTGATACTGTGAGTAACGTTGTTTGACCTGTTATTTGTTATCTATGCATGTGATGCTTGAGTTTTTTTCATTCGAGATAGTGCATATATATCAAATATCCTGTTTATACATCAAGATTCTGCTCAATCTTCTGGTTGATCTTTAGTAACTATCTTAACTGCCGGTGTTACTTGTTAGAATATAGAACAGATGGATAAAGGACTATGATTAATGATACTATTGACATCCAACATGTTGTGGATACACTGCTCTATTAGCTCAGATTGTCACTAAATGAGAAGATTGTGTCTTTGTTTCATTTTGTATATTTTCCTTTCTTTTCTCTTTCCCCCAATTTCAGTTTGTTTGAGAAAGCTGATGGCCCTAGAATGTTATATTTTCTTTAAGGTGCATTCTCATGTTGATGTATACAATTTCACCGATAACACCTGGATTGGAAGGTTTGACATGCCAAAAGAAATGGCTCATTCGCATTTAGGCATGGTGACAGATGGAAGATACATTTATGTGGTTACTGGACAGTATGGACCTCAATGTAGAGGGCCCACAGCACACACGTTCGTATTGGACACTCAAACACATCAGTGGAAGGGCTTGCCACCTTTACCAGTCCCAAGGTATTGACTTAGGGCGTGCTTCGATACAAATATATGCGCTCAAAACGAGTGTTTTTTGATTAACCAGAGTTAATTTTGAAAAAGGTGGTAGGTGTGTATGGTTAGTTGTTAGTGGGATTTTGAGTTTATATTTAAATAAAATAATTAAATTTTTATTCGATGTAAAAGTAAGAGAAATGATGTGAAATGATGGTTAGTTAAAATTATGTGAGTGGATGAATAGTGAATTAAAGTTGGTTTGATGTGTAAGAATGATTGATTGATATTATTTAATTATATTGATAATGTTGAGGATAGTAGAGTTGGTTTAAAGTTGAGTTAGATTTTGAGTATGAGATGAATTATTTTATAAACAAACACACCCTTAGTGCGTGGTCGTACATTTTGGTGCCCAGTACTCGTATTTTGTGATTTCTTTTCTATGTTCCTTCTTATCTGCATATGTTGTCGTCTCTTATTGCTAGAATTGATACGCTTTCTTCTTCTTGTCCATTCTGTTAGATCATAGTGTAGATTCATCAATTTTCAATGAATTTGTCGTGTTTTCCAATCATTTTTATGAGTTCTGTAATCGTGTAACATTAGCTTCTAATGTTTGTATTTTTATTTTTATTAGATTTTACTGGGGAATCACATAATAGCTGTAAATAAGTGAAAGCATATACTAAACTCAATAGCATGACTTGCTTGTGATATATATCAGAGAGAATTTGATTAGATAGTGTATAGTTTCAACGGAACTTGTCATGGTAAATTTGATCAGGTATGCCCCAGCCACCCAACTTTGGAAAGGCCGACTTCATGTAATGGGTGGTAGCAAAGAGAATAGGCATACGCCTGCTTTAGAGCATTGGAGCATAGCTGTAAAAAATGGTAAAGTTTTAGAAAACGAGTGGAGATCTGAAATTCCAATTCCCCGTGGTGGACCTCACAGGTTTTTATGCTTTTCCATCCAAAAGTAACTTTGCTCTGTTTATATTATCTTGCTTATATATTGAACCCACTAGTTGCAATTCCTCACTCATAATCTATTCATGGACGGTTTAGGTTCTAACAATTTTATTTATGTATTTGAAGGTAAATTTAACGGTGGTCACTGATATAGCAGCATATATCACGCAGATTGTAGCAACTTAAAGATATTAAGCCCATCGGTTGCATATTCTTCATTTTATTATATAAATCCTACTATACACCAATCGCCCGTTTTATAAGCAAAATGCTTCCGACATTATAGATGAACTTCATCAGAAGAGATATTTCTTGCAATTTCTATGAAAAATATCATTTGCTTCGAGCAGATATCCCACATCTAATACTCAGTAATCAGTATGCATATGAATACGAGTTTCTGCCCATGAGAACACAATGCTTTTTGGAGCCGGAATTTTTAGTTCACGAACCATCAGTTTTTGAAGATACCTTTTTATAGTTTGACACATTAATGTCACACTAATTTATTATTATTATTATTATTATTATTTAATAAAAAACACTTCAATGTATCTGGTAAAACTAGTTGATAGCTTATAAGCGATTTTCGAGCTTATAGCTTATGACTTATAGCTGAAAAACTAGATTATATGATAAAAGTGTTTAGTAAAATTAGCTAAGCTAGCTGAAATATTCAACGAGCTTATTTGAAAAGTTACCCCAAGAAGCTTATGATTATGAGATAAGCTAAAAAACGCGTCCTACCAAACGAAGTTTTATTTGAATACAGGAAGGTTATAATATAAGCTAACCAAATATGGTCTATTAATGAATTTTTCTATTAATGAATTTTCCTTCACGAATATGGTCTTCATTTGTCTACAACTAATTCCATTTAGGGCTTGTGTTGTGTACGACGACCGTTTGTATATTATTGGCGGTCAAGAGGGTGATTTTATGGCCAAACCCGGGTCTCCAATATTTAAATGCTCACGTCGTAACGAGGTAATCCAGTTCCAGTTTTCGAATAAATCGGTCAGTTGAATACTTTTTGCCAGCATATATTAATATAGTGTTGCCGAGTTAGATTTTCAGGGTTTGTATTTGCTATAATCAGAGAACTGACAATTGCAAAGCGAGCTAATGTTAGTATTTTTATAGGTTGTATATGGTGATGTGTACATGCTAGACGATGATATGGAGTGGAAAGTGCTGCCCTCTATGCCGAAACCCGATTCTCATATCGAGTTTGCTTGGGCAATTGTTAACAGCTCGATTATCATTGTTGGAGGCACCACGGAGAAACATCCTGTGACCAAAAAAATGATTTTAGTTGGAGAAATATTCCGGTTCGACTTTGATACATTGGTAATCTTCGTAATTCAAAACTACTACTCGGTTTTTATCCCACTTCTATACTTCAAAAGTCTATTGGGCTCTGTATTAACGGCATTATATTTTGTTTTTTCGATTTGAAAAAAATGACAGAAGTGGACTGTGATCGGTAAGCTTCCTTATCGGGTAAAAACGACACTAGTTGGGTTTTGGGATGGAATGTTATATTTTACATCGGGCCAACGAGACAGAGGGCCCGATAATCCTGCGCCGAAGAAGGTGATTGGGGAGATGTGGAGAACAAAGCTTATTTTGTGAGCATATTTTTGTTATTTTCATGTGGTAGATAGCAATATTGCCACTTGCCAGTGTAACAAATCATTAGCCTATTATTTTTTATCCTTTTATTGTTCCATCTTTTCACTGTGTAGCAGTTTTAATGTTTCACCTCCATAGTCGCATCTTGTTGTATTGGTTTGAATATTACTTAATAGTGTTGCAATTTGATTTGATTCTTTTAGTTTTTGTCAGCTTTATTTAGACACACAAACTTTCGACATATGTTAGGCCGTCTAATGATTAGACAATCATATACTTTCAACATTACTTCCATATTCAAAGGTGAAATATAAACAAAAATACGACGCTTCATTGTATGAATTCGCATCTTATAAAAGAAAATATGGAGTCCGAATGTTAGGTAGCATCACAGCAACATTTCTAAACGAACGAGTTGTGGGCCCCACAACTGCAAAATGCATCAATATAGACTTGCCATGGAACTACAAACCTAGTCTCATTCTCATACATGTATCAAGAGAGAATTTGATTCTAAGTTACAATTTATTACATATTGACCCCAAAAACCATCACAAGGCAACTCATCAGAACAAAAAACACTACTGTGACATATCTCAAGGAGTCAATTCTGGTTATCAAATCAAACATTCAAACATAAACAAGTCCCTTAATATGTAAGCTCATGCAATTTCATGCAGTCACTCTAAGCAAACCTAATAAAGTTACAAACACAGCTTTCCTTTTCTCAGTCATTCTACCATTAAACCAAACTGCATTTATTTCTCATTGTTGCAAACTGGGTATTCGGCCTCTATCGATTATTTTCCAAAGCGCTTTCTTTGCCTCGTCTAGTGTTTCAACACCCCGCGTTTCTTCAAATGAAATCCTCTGAACATTAAACTGCAAAACCCACAAAGCAAAAGTCAAAAACTCGCTTAAAGTCCCATTATTATTATTATTATTATTATTATTATTATTATTATTATTATTATTATTATTATTATTATTATTATTATTATTGTTGTTG